TTTTCCATGATTGATTGCTTAGGAAGTGCCAAGCCTTGTATTTTGACACTGAAGTTTTTCACAGTAAAACATAGTTGACATAATGAGAGTGACCTTAATAATTTTAAATTTCTTATTGTTCGCTTACTGAAGAGGATAAATTGATTCCACACCAGAAGTGTCTGTGCTGAACAGGAGACATGAATTGGTGACATTTTTTAAATCAAACAGTACAAATTTTTAGAAACATCTATAATTACTGTTTGATGTGCTGCAAAGAGAAAGAGAGTTGACTTTAGAGAGCATGATGTTACTCTGGTTTCTTTTTGGGGGGAAAGATCTAATATATTAATGATAACAGCTGTTATTGATTTTTTTTTTCTTTATTCCATTCAAGACAATCCAGCTTTTGAAATTTGGCATTTTTTGCCATTAAAAAAAAGTTCTTTTTGCACTGTCTCTGTTATTTTTGTCAATTTTGATTTGATTTTCCTTTTTCTATAGATTTTTAAGAGCCAACAAAAAGACCTTGTTTGTTAATGCTGTATGATTGATGATTACCAATGAGCAATTTACCAAACCATCAAACGTTTAGGAATTTTCTTTGTTTATCTCATCTATCTGACTTCAAATATAAAATATTAACTCTGAATTTATTTTATATCATTTTATAAAGATGTTTCTCTGTGCCATGTCACTTAAAGATGTAGGCAATCATTGTTCTTTACAGTCTCTTGTCTTTTGTTGATCGCAGCATTACTTCTTTGACTCATTTTTATTTTTGTCATATGTGCTCCTCCATCCATTTGCTCAAATTTGTTAAGTAGGTTACTTGCTGTTTTCCTCCTCTTTTCTAGCCTTGCATGTGTCTTGTGAGTGCTAAATTCTACGTCTTCTGCATATGTCTCCCAAACTTCAGATTTTTCTCTTTAAAACTTCATTTATTACACACTCTGTCAATGATATTTTCCACATTTATCTTTATTTGTGATGAAATTGTCTAGTATTCAGATCCATATTGGAAGTTGGACAAGACATAGCAGTGCAACATTCTGTTTTTCATTTATGTCATTTTCTCTCCAATCTTATTAAATACACTTTTTTTTTTTTGTATCAAAGGATTAAAAAATATATAAAAATTAATTTACAGATTAAGTATTATTTGTATTCGGACAAAGTGGCAATTTTGCAAAAATGAAAAATTGTTCAAATATGCATAACTATCAAATTTGGGAATAACACTCAAGTTGTTTTGTATCCTCAATACAATTGTTTTATTCATTGTTTTTTTTATTTTTTTTTTTTTTTTGAAAATATGAAAGTTTTTATCAATAACTGAAAAATGAAGATTTGACAAAGTTTGTGGTTGAAAAAATAATAAATAAATTTACTGCAAGCACATTGAGTGAGCTCAAAACCTTCAGTCAATCATAGAGACTGCAGCTTTTAATTGAGAAGTCACCCCTATTGACTGGACTAAGATCATCCAGTGGAGCTTTTTAAAAACCAATACTTTTTCTCTCTAGTGAGATTTTTGTTTGTTGCCTGGAGAACCTTTGTCACTCATGATTAACCCCACTTAGGTTTTTTGCCAGTTGCTGAGAGTCAAGTGGAGAAATGAGTGAAGAAAAAAGAAGACTTAATTTAAACTACAAAGCTTAAATATCATCTTCAGAATGCTAAAATTTATAGATTGTAATTTCTGTCTGAATTTCTGGGATGAGTTGTGCTTGTTGATCCAGATAACCTTCAGGTAAATTCAAACTAAACCCTTTATTTAACCTATGGTGGTAGATTGTTCTTGTTCTGCCAACCATGTCTGGTGATATCTTGCTTAATTCTTATTTAGTATTGTTTCCACCAAGGCCAAATACATGCTGCCCTGCCCAGGAATTGAACTCACTATATCACCAAATTCATGAACCAATTCTCTAATCCACAAAGAAAATTCTGAAGAGAGAACTTGAAGTCTTAAAACTAACCTGCTTACTAAGGGATACTGCTACTACTTGTCATGTTTGACTGCTTCTCTTTTTACTGCTGCTGCTGCTGTTGAAGCCTTGCTCTCATTCAGCTTTCATTTTTTATAAATGGCTCCCATATCATATTTATTTCTATGCTAGACCTACTATGGAGGTCTTCATAACCTAGCGTATGTGTTGATTCTTTCATATGTATGCCTTTCAGTGTTCATTCCTGTCTAGAATTTTTATTTCATTCCACCTTTTTCTCTCTATACATGATCAACCATACCTGATTTCATTGTCTTGTCAATGTTCCTCCTGCTTTACTTTTAGAAGGTTAGTTTCACCTTTATATTCTTTTCCAAGACAGCAAGGAATGTAGGGTGTGGCTGCTTCTAAATGTCCTGATGTTGTATGGACTACAGATTTTTTCCAATAAGCTCTTGATGTAAGGAGGACAGATTGAGGTAATTTTCTGGTTCTCCTTGACCCTTTTGAACTGCAGAAACTGACATTTGCACGGTGGTAGTTGTTGTTCTGAAGGATACGTTCGATGCTGATCATGGGTTACCACTTATGATTTTTGCACATTGTTGTAGACCTGGGATGATCTTTCTTTACACTGTATGGATGGTAGGAATTGAAGTTGAGCATTATCCATTGAAGGTTGGCTTGTGATATATGGATTCTTGAACCCATTCTCTGTACCATTTATTAGTACATGCAGGTAGGTTAGCTGATTATTTTCTTCTTCCATTATGAACTGGATTGAAGGTCTTATCGAGGTCACGTGATTCAATATTTGTACAGTGTCCTGGTAAGGCCAAAGTATGATATTGTCATACACATATCTCAGCTATAATGTTGGGTTCAGTGATGCTTTTCCTAAATACATTTCCTCAAAGTATTCTCTGTATATATTTGCCATCACTTGTGAAAATGGTGAACCCATGGCCAAACTTTCCCCCTGTTAGTATATGTCAGATTCTACTTGGAAGAATGTTGTCTGTACACAGAACATCACCATTTCCATCAGGTACTCTATTGGAATGTGATCCAGTCAGTTTCAAATCATTGACAATTTCATCCACGGGAACTATGGTGAACAGGCTCACTTCATCCATGCCATTTCAGAGAGAGAGAGAGTATATAATATTATATTTATGTCTCCACAAAGGAAAGGACTTGTTTTAAATAAACATATCCTCATATAGATACTTAAATAACCTCTCTTTCCAAAACTTGAATGCAATTAATTTCACTTTAGGCATTTATTGTTGAAAACACTAAACATGCCTTGTTCTGTGAAATTTCACAGCATTTAAATGCTTTCTTTACTCTGCATTGACACAGAGCTTTCATTAGAAACTTAATTCTAAGAATTGATATCTTTTGTTCAGTTTTTTTTTTTTTTTTTTTTTTTTTTCAACCTTCATTTCTGGTTTGAAAATTATTCTTGCCTCAAGAAATTGACATTTTTATTTGAAGTGTAAAACTTAAACACTCCTACAAACGATAAAATATTTTGAATTGTCATATTTTTTCTGCCTCAGCTACTGTCCTTTTCGGACAATGATCTTTAAATTATTTCTGCCAATTTGAAATTTTCTTTCTTTCTTTTTATGTGCCATGTCCTTTCAGGACATAGGCGATCATGGCTCTCCACCTCCCTCTATCCCTTGCAGCTTTCAGCAAGTTCCTTCCCTCTGCTTCCTCTCCGAGACCACATTCTGTCATCCACTTGCTCAAGCTCGTCAGGTATGTTACGTGCTGCTTTCCCTTATTTCTCTTTCTCTTTATTAGACCCATGAGTATCAGATTCTCCAGGCCCTCCTTCCTCATTATGTGTCCCAGAAACTTCAGCTGCCTCTTTCTGATGTTAAGTATAAGCCCTCTCCTTGTTTGCAACCTCTCTAAGATCTCATCATTGCTCACACACTCAGTCCATGATATTCTTAGCATCCTTCTGTAGAACCACATCTCCATTGCCTTGAGTCTCTTCTTCATCTTTGAGGAAATCATCCAACATTTGCTGCCATAAAGGAGAACAGATGTCTTGTAACAGCTCAGTATTCTTTTCTTTGTTACCAAAGAAATCCTCCTGTTTCGCAATACTCTGCCCAGCTTTTGGGATTTGTCCTTGGCCATCCCAATATGTCTATGGATCTCAGTGTCGCACTTACCATCCTCTGTCAGCACTTCCCAGATATTTAAACTTCTGCGTCTGCTTGATTCGAGTTTTCTTGACCTGCAAATCATATTTCAGGCTCTTCCTCTTATTGATGACTATGCATTATACTTTCTAAAAAAAAACAGGTCATGCTTGTGATAATGCTCTTTCTATTTTTATGATTTTAAAAATGCTTATCAATCTTGAAAATTTCAGTTGTTTTATTTTCAAATAATTAAATTTGAATTCTTTAAATGTTAGTTTTAACATTTTTGTTTTTTATCTATCTTAATATTATATGTGTGTGTGTGTGTCAAAACAATGAATCTGTATTAAACTGAGCCAGAATACACAGACTGAACACACAATTACTATGCCACCAAATTCACTAACCTATGCTTTAATTATCTATGCTATTGTCCCGTGAGGTGAAACTGCATCTAGTTTTTGGAACCTTAAATCTAATATTCTTCTTGCCTCTTATGTTATGATAGTAACAACAATGATTATAACATTAGTTCAATCATAGTGATGTGATTTTATCTATATTTTTGGGAAAATAAATTTTTAGACAATTGAATTCTTTCAATATTTTATGAATTTTGTTGTTCCTACATTTTGACCAAACTATTCTATGACCTTCTTTAGGTGTCAACATTTAAATACTGTTTGCTACTTCTTTTTGCTTTGAATGACAAAAAAAAGAAAGATAAAATGGGTTGATTGAATCATGGAAACAACAGAAGTCATTACAATAGTTGGTCAATTGTGTGAAAATGAAGTGAAAATATTATCAAGAAATATTTAATACACAATTTTTTTTTTTTTCATGAGAAAAACTTTTTCTTTGCAGCTGCTTACTTTAGTATTTGTTTTTTGATTTTTAGTTCATCACTTAGAGAAATTGAATGTGAAAGATCATGTCGTGCTGGATCATGCAAGTGCCCAATCACATGACCCGGAACAACATGCAGAACATGAAAGCCTTCATGGGCATGAAGGTGCCGTTAATGTTCATAGCCTCATTGGGGTTGCATTGGTAGCTGGATTTATCACCATGCTTCTAATAGATCAACTTTGTGGGGGATCTCATGTGCATTCAGCACCAGGTGAGTAGAAAATTGGATTCATCTAAATTCTCTTATGAATTTTTTTCCATTCAGTATGAAATAAAAAAAAAATAACTGTTCAAGCGTTTCTAACAACTTGTTAGAAATATTCTATAAAAACTTAAAGATTTTGTTTTTAAAATTTTTAAAGAAATTCTTTTGTTTGAGACTCCAGAAAATTATTTCCTTTAATCTTTGTCAGTATACTGAAACTCTACTAAAGTTTATTTTTTCTTTTCTGTGAACTTTTAAAGTGAAATTTTCATTCTTCAATCATTGAAGTTCTGATAAATTAAAGATAAACAAATTGAAATATTTTTTTTTTTCTCTAATTTTTTTTAGTTTAACAAAACTTGAAAAAGATTGAATATTAATCTATTTCCAGTAATTATATAATGTTATTACCCAATATTTCGAATTTATAGGTGCCAAATTTATAAAATGCTGTATGTTATTGTATTATGTCAAGGTGACTTTGTTTCTGTACATTTTGGATTTTTTTCAGTGTGGCAAAGTCTTTTTAAATCCACTTCATGTATTGTTTTTGAACAAGCCTATCAAGTGTATGTGCTAAGATGGTTCTTTCATTTCTGTTTATGAAACCTAGATTATCTGTATTTAAACCAAGGGGAATGAACTGTTAAACTAAACTGTAACTGTACAATTGAATAGAGTTTGGGAAATAGCCATTAATTTTTTGATTTACTATAATTTGTTCAACTTAATTATAAAGCATGGACATGGTGTCTGGCCTAATTACCAGCTCACCAACAGCTGCTAGAGTTGCAACATTGGTATACAATTTTCATAAATTACATTGATAACTATAGACAAGATAATGAACAAATAAAGAACACTATAAGCTGTGTGAATGCCAACACTTTTTAATATATAGTATATGAAAACTCAGTCGAACAATTTATAAGTGAAAACTCTGTTAAGATTTTTGCTAGATATTTACTAGTTACCAGAATGAAAGAATCATTAACTTATTTCTTTGTGGAGTTGGAAAAGTTAAAGAGAAACTGTAATTTTTAAGATCATAGCGATGATTAATGTGGTAATGAAGTATTGCATGATGCATTCATCACTGGCATTTTCCCACCTGCAATATGCCAGCATCTCATGGGAAACAATATGCTGGATTTACAGACAGCTTATCATCAAGCTTCTGTATTTGATGTAGCTCCACACAAGAATATTTACACTGCCCAAGCAATCCATCCAGTACTGACTCCTGAACAGCCACACATACACCAGATATGTAAGAAAGGTTCTTTTAACCTTTTACTTGCTCTTGAGAAACCATGTGTGATTGTCATAATGGAATTTTTTCTTCTGTAGTTTCTCCCACACAGAATAACTGCCCATCCTGTGTGTAATAAATGTGCAAAATGACAATCTGCCTGGGTGAGCAAATCCAAAACACTAAATTCATTGATGAGAGTAATCCACTCCTGTTTGAGTACACTTGCTAATGTAACACAGAGACGTGCTCAAGCTGCAAACATTAAGAACAAAGTGATCACTTGTATTTATGCAGCACTGACGTTATAGCAGCAGAAACATTGTGTTTGAATTAGGACTAAAGCTTTGCCCATTTAGCAAAGATATTACTACAGATCATAAAACTTTATAAATTAGTTTCAAAAGATATGTTGGCGTTGACCTAACTTTTAACCACATGGCATCTTGAACGAATTACCTTTTAACTTATTCATGATCTCCTGCACCAACATCTGAGTGTAAAATCTGAATATGGAAAACACCTGTTTGAACTATGAATGGTGTTGATCAATAATGGGCACTAACAACAGTAGAAATAGCAGAGCCCAGTATTTTAAAAAAAAAAACCCAAAAAACCTGAGTTGTATGTAACTCAATTAATATCGGGTGAAGATGCTTTAGCAATGACAATACTTCATAAAGAATGAAATTTGCAATTTACTTTAAGATATAATTGAGACAAGCATAATACTATGGCAAGCACAAGTTTTAGTAGCAAATGATCCTCTCTGACAACATAAAAAAGTAGATGTTTTAGATCATTTCCAGACAATCATTACAAAAAAATGGATGCTTACCCTCATGTTAAAGATAGACAAGATTGTGAATAAACTATAAAAATATCATGTTCTCTACTTTTGAATTAATAAGTACCTACCACTAAGTGTAATTGAAGGAGTCAGGAAATATAGAGATTTTAATATTATAGATGCTTAGACCAATTTTATAGGATTCTTTATGGAATCATGTTTGCCTTCCACCAGGCTATGGACAAGTTAGAGAAAAAAATGCAAGGCACTGTTCCTTACCTTGATACTATTACTGTTGCAAGACATACACAAGAGGAACATGATTAAAATGTAAAAACATTCCTTAAAGCCATCAATTGGTAGCATCTAACACTGTTTAGGGAACAGTATTATAATGGGAAGAGCTATGGAAGGAAAGTTTATTCTCCCATTATGGGCTGTATTAAATCCATATTTCACAGAATGACTGAAAGGAAAAGGGATGACAAACATACTTTGTTCTCAGAGAGACTTCTATACCACTAAGAAATACATAAAACTATATATATACATATTTACATGTGTCCCATGCAGAGAGAATATAACATATCTACACAGCAAGCAGAGTGAAAGAGGAATGGAAAGATAGGGTCTTATATATATGGAGACTCTTCTGTTTTTCTGGAGAAGCCATATTTATGACTCCAGATTCATCTACTATGTACCAAGCAAGGATATATACCGTGAACTGGAAACTACGAGTCTTAGGTTTCAAAATTTTTTACGAAACTGAACAATTTTGGTTTCATTTTTATATCACTACTGAGTGACCATATCCAAAGAAACACTATTGGAAAAGACTTCCAGATGTTAATAAATTAAATTTTATCATACATTTATTTTTTATACCATTGTAAGAGAAAAAGATTGAACAAAAATATGTTAAAAACATTTGACTAGTTTAGAAAATAAATGTGAAATCTACTTGTTTAGAAATGAAACAGAACAAAAAGAAAATATGACATGTCTGAAACCTATTTGTTTCATTTTTCAAAAAAAAAAAACTTTTTGTGGTAAAATTAAGTAAACAACAAAAAAATAAAAAAAATAAAAATAGTTGCCAGTTTTGTCTTAATATTAAATTTTATGAAGTTAGATTTTTTGTAAGGGTTTTCTAGTAAGCCATTACAAAAATTACAATCACAAAATAAAGTTCTTATAAACAAGAAAAATGAATGAAGATTGTTTTTTTATAAATAAATTTGTTTTTTATCTAGGGAATGCACCTAAATTAGATATTAAGAATAATTAAAATAGTTCTTAATTTCACTTTTAGGATGTGTATATTTCCAGATGTGTGAGTCTCTGTTTTCTACAAATAAAATTATGTTTCTATCTAGTGAATACACGTAAAATTAGATATTAAAAAAATAAAGTTTTAATCTCGGTTTTAAAATGTGTATATTTTCAAAACTGCAAGTCATATTTTAAAACCCAAAATAAAAATTATTCTCTTTTAGCCACTAGTGTTCGGTGGATGTTTGTTATTGTTCTGCCAATAAAATTCTTCTAAACAATGAAAATTAATTCATTTTATTTTTACAAATATCTTTACTTTATGGTTTTATCTGGTGAATAATACACTTAAGTAAGATTATAGTAAAATAATTAAAACAGTTTTTAATTTCAGTCTTAAAATGTGTATTTAAAAAAGAACAGGTGATACAGTACATTATTTACATTCAGAAATATAGACAGACTGATACTCACAGATTTGGAAATCTACACATTCTAAAAATTAAATTAAAAGCTTTTAATTATTTTTAATATTTAATTTTAGGTGTATTCACTAGATAAAACAAATTTATTTAAGGGAAAAATAGCTCCTTTATTTTCCTTGTTTAGAAGAAATTTATTTGCAAAACCCCATTAATAGTTGACTGGCGTACCAGAAAATTATTTTTTTTTTTTTTTTTTTTTTTTTTTTCACTTTATAATTTTTGAAGGAAATCGCTTCCTTGGGTCAGACAAGAAATGAACAGCTTCCTGGTTGTAAAAAAAAATAAAAACTCATTTTGCATTTTTCAGCTGGTTGAAGCAATACTGTTTTAACTTGCTGTAAAAAAAAATAATTCAATGAATAAAAGCACATAAAATTACATATTTAGAAAGATTATATTACTTTTTTTCAGCCATATGAATATATTTAAGATTGGACCAGAAATACACATATTTCTTGTGAGTTGAACGGATGAAATATTATCAATCTCAAACGAAATCTGATATTGACTGGAAATGCTATTACTACACAAGAAAATAAATGGCTTCCTTAGAAAGCAAAAATACTAAATTAAAAACGGTACCAAAAACCGTGGTATCAAGGAAAATAAAACCTGAAACCGATACTGAAACATAAATTGCTAGACCGAACATATCTTTGGATTTTTCAAAATTGAGGACTGCGAGCTGGAAATATTTTCTTTCTATATCTGGGAAAGATATATTCCCAAAGAGAAATGGCGCCATAGACTTGTAAGCTGCTAGGGGAAGCTGATTTAGCCTTAGCTCAGGCCAAGAGGCCCAAGCCAAACAAACAACTGCTACATTTTATTGTAAACTGAATGAAATTGACTGGCAGTTTTGTCACTGTATAGAGTGACATCACTAAGCAGCCATCACATGACCCACATGTCTGTATCTCCACCAAAGGGAGATGATTGCTTTTTGTATCCTTACAGTATCTTTCAACCAGATACTGAAAGCCTTTAGCCATTACAAGAGAAATTTTGTGATCCTTAAAAAGTATGTCAAATAGATTTTTGTGTTCTTTGACAAGATTCAAATTTTTCATTAGAAGAAAGGGTTTTTACTAAAGAGAATTGGAGAAAGTTTATGAATATTTACTCTTTGAGGTAGGGTGACACCTTTGATGTGGTTGCCATCATTAAGACAATGTGTAAACTTAAATTGGTTACTGACCAGAAATCATGCTGGGAAATAGTGTACTCTCTGACATGGTTACTCAGGCTTAAGTTTGTTCAGCCTTTATTACTTCTACACTTGCTGATATCTACAATGGATTTAGTCATTTGAGAATAATTTAACTGCAGAATTTTGTTACAGTAAAGAACCTCTCCTTTAACAGAAAATGTTTGTTTCTTGTGATGTCTGAAGTGTTATCTGTTGCTGGATTGATCGAAATGAACTGTTAAACTAATTTGTAACTATACCATGAAGTTGACTAAAACTTGGAAAGAAGTTACCAAGTTTTTCATTGTCACTTTCTTTATCAGTATTTTTTTATCTTAAAATGAACATGATATTTTTTTAATGTTTCTGGAACATAGTAGTGGTTGAAGGATGGAGTTTCTAGGTTTAATTTCTGGCATCAAAGATGCATGATACTGATACATATATTCTGAGCAATTTATGATCCGTAGTCCCAACACTGGATTCAGATAAAGACATGATTTATTCAATTGAATTTTCATTTTGTTACAGATGTTGAGCACACTCAGTCACCAAGTCAGAATCGAAACAAGATTACAGCTACATTAGGATTAGTGATACATGCAGCAGGTAAATATATATCCTTATTCCATTTTAAGTTGTCATTTTTTTTCTGATATTATTTCTTAATTGTATTGAAAATGATGTAACTGTTATATTAGCAACATTATTTAAACATAATCTCCTTTCTTATCAATGTATTTAACACTTGTTCATTAATCATATAGATTGAAAATAGTGAAAATTTCAGATTAATACTTGTTCAAGCTTACAATTTAGTGGTAGATTAAGAGAACTTAAAATTCACCTGGCAGCTAAAATATATGATAGAAACCAGGGAGAAATGTGCCCAAACCATTTAGATTTTTTAATAATTTCTGCAATGTTGCATCACCACTCCAAGACAAAAGCCAGATCTTCCTTTTCTGGACATACTCCACATGGAAGTCAGGCTCATTGATGGTGATGGCTTCAGTTAGTTAGGCTTCAAAAAGTTTCAGAGCAAATGGCATATGAGGATTATTTTCTTAACAGCTTCTACAGAGAAACAAAGATTACAGCACCATGAAGTGAATTGTATGCAAGACGACTGGATGGCAAAGATTATCATATAGAACTTTCAGTCTCTCATTACCACAAGTGGCACTATATATGTGAGATGGCATTTGGTGCAACATTCTCCTTGCTAGGTTGAAATGCTGTGTCATAATTATAGCAGGAGACGGGATTTGCACATTCTGGCCTACTTGAGGAGACATAAAAAGTGAAATGCTAAGAGCGATGGGGCATGGTTTTTGGGGCAGATTACATTTGCTAGTCTGACGAGTGGATTGACAGGAAAAAGAAGGTGAAGGAGACACAACTGAAAAGTGCCCAGTGTGGTGGCGAAGAAATAGAGCCCCAGAATCTATTTCCTTGATGCGAATGAGAAAGAAGAGTCAGTCTGCCGGCAAATGCTGCACTTGATTATTTTTTTTTTTTTTAACCCCTCTCATTTATTTATTTTTTGCTAAAAAGCTCTTCTTTCAATATTCTTCAGAAATAGTGCTCAGAACAGCCTCTTTCATTTCTGAGTGGATTCTTGAAGTATTGAGTTTTTATCCTTCACAAGAAGTATCAACAAAGGCCAAATAATCAACCTTGGTAAATGCCTGACTGACTACTATCCATATCACTATAAACAGTGTGGCAAGACTCATGCCACATTTAGAACTGCCTGTAATAATTGCAAAAGATTACTGGAGAGTGCTAAGATCAACTATGAAGTCAGTCCAAGCTAATGTTGACAATGAAAGATTTGATTTTCATGAGTTCTGGAAAATCACTAACAAGATTTTCATGTTTCTCACAGATCTGTGTAAAAAAAAAAAAATCCAAGACTAAGAAGTTTCAAGGACTGAAACTGGTGTACACACACACACACACACACACACACACACACACACACACATATGCATAGAGTGAATGGTCATCAATTTTAAAAACAAACTTTATGATTTGTCTTTTAATAGTTTGACAGATGAGATGTTCAAAGAAAAGCTACAATTAGTTCACATAATTCGTGTCACATGGATCAGTTGAAAGCAGTGAAGAAATCAGTGTTGAAGGCTAAAACACAACTGAATGTAGACCTGGTTATGTTACATGTTTTGTGTAGCATTCTACACAGTTAAATTTTCAGGTGTAGTAACACCTGAAAATTTTGAATTACACACTTTAATTTCTTACTGCTACACATTTCAGCTATCTTGATTATCCAGTTTGTGAATGTCACAAAAATTCTTTGCTGCACATTTCCTGTGAAGTTATATATAGTGGTTTTAATGAACAGAACTACAAATAGAAATTTTCACAAAAAACTACATATTTTAGCTATCCATACTACTTATGGCTTTCGCTACACATGGCGCAGAACACTATGTTAACATTTTTTCAGTACATGTAGTTTAGCATTCAGCTCCTCTTCCAATTTTGATATCTCTATAGATTTGTCCTTTACAGATCTTTGCATGACATAGGACTTTGTGATAAGTGTGAAGTTCTGAATCTGCTCAGTGTTCTCCACATAGCTATCAGCTGACTTGAGCAAATCTTGTGTGCAACTTTCAACATTTAATTTTTTTCTTTTTTTTTTTTTGCTCTTCAGTTTTCATTGTCGTGGATTTCCGTTTTTGTCCAGCTGCTTCTTCCTGCCTTTTTTTTCTTCTCAGCCTCAAGGTATTGGTTGTATGCAGTTCTAGCATTGAAAGCACTGCAGGGAATAGCCTTAGTCATGGGAACATTCCCAGCACCTCCAACTGTAACCAAATAGTTCATAATAATGTGCCTGCTTTCATATTGTCAGTGAAAATTCTTTATTGATTGAGAAACCTCTCTCCAACTGGGGCCTGTTCATGAGGGAGTACCAGCAATCTGCAAACAATTTTCCAGTTTTTAATATTCTTTGTTGTGAGACAAAGAAGAGTAGAACAAAGTGTCCAGATGGTCTTCAGGCTTTCTGAAATTCTTGCAAACAATATTTCCAGCAGCCTCCTCCTCAAAATCTTTGTACTGACTGACAATGTCATCACAATCAGACTTCCTGACTTGTTTTCTGTCTATCATATGGGAAAGACATCTTTTTCTTTTGTAACAATTTTTTTTTCTTAAAGAGATCCAGGGTTCAGCCATGTAAGTGACCTTACAAGAGGGTATCTAAGGGAAAAATTTGCCAGAAGTTTCTCAATGATGAAGAACATTATCTTTGTTCATTATTTACATTATTTGGACTATTGTCTTCATATTTGTCGACATATTTATCACAATGGGATAGGGTTGCCAGATTGAACTTTTAATAGAAAGCCAAACAATATAAAAACTAATAAGAATAAGTTTAATTTCATCATTTTTTCACACTTACAACAAAAGCTAGAGATACAAGACATTATTAGCCTGCAAACTTTAAAAATAACATTATTCTTCTTTTTTCAAAGATGCATTTTCTATCCTAAGACACATCAAAGGCACATTTTCTATTCTATCATCCTTCCCATCTACATTTTCTTTGAGTCAATTTTGATTCTCAAAACTTGTTACTTTTGGAAATAATTTAGACAAACATAGTTTATAGATACACATTGACACAGGATGCATAAAGTATATATTTTTTTCAGCATGAACATACCCACTGCTGACTAGAGATAAAAAAAAAAAGGACTTTTGAAATTGGCATGTGAATTAACATTTCTTCAATTGTTCAAAATTTAAAAAACACTAAGTTTTTCGAGATTCTACGAAAATGAATTTTATTACTGTAAAATAATTTATTTTCCTCTTTACTTGTGAGGCTAGCAGCAAGGAAAAAAATATTTTTCTCCATTCTTTTTGTCACCTAGACAAGAAAATATTAACTAAATCATTGAACGTGAATCAAGGACCACTGTTTGCAAAAAAAATAAATGACTGAAAAAAAAAAAAACACTTAAAAGACAATTTTTGTAAAAAAAAACAGATTTCTGTGATTTGCCATTTTGACTTTTATGAATTGCAAAAAAGATGTGTAGGCAGCCCAATTTAGAATTCCAGGAATTTTTAAAGAGATTTTTGGGCCACTGCCGATTTTCCAGGTCTCTTTAAGTCCTTGAAAAGGCCGGTCAATTTTCCAGAACTTTCCAAGGTTTCCAGGACCTCTACAAACCCTGTTCTTAACAGACAAATTGTCTGTGTTTACTGCTGTTAATGTCTCTAAGGTTTTTTCATCTTCATCAGACAAGACTAAACATTAGACCACCAAGATCATCCCCTATTTGGCTTCATCACTCTCACACAGCACAAGCTTTGTGATCTCATGGTCTTAGTTATCTTCAATCTTGGCAAAGTTGTTAAACCACTACCTGAAAGAGAAAGGTTTTTCAAGTCTGTTTAAGTTGCCAACTATTTGCTCTGTTTTCAAGAATGCTGAAGGAAAAAGCAGTTAAAAAAAAAACACATTTTTAAACAGTAAAGTTAAACAAAATTTTTAACATGTAACAAAATAAACCTAATCTGTTTGATAATTTAATAGATTACAATAGCTGAAAACTAAAAAATGAGAAAGCTGACATTTTTCCTTGTACCAAACCCAGGAAGGTTAAGAATAAGTACTCCCATTCAGTTTCAATACCTAAGGTTTAAAATGAATTTTTAAAAATGAAAAAGCATTCTTGAAGCTTTCATTTTAGCTTTAATTGAAAGCTAAATGATTAAATTTACTATTTCCAGTAAGCAAAATACTCTGTTTTTTTTTGTTTTTTTTCTCAAATAGAAATTATATTGATTGGGTATCCAACTTTTTGGTCACTTTCACAAAATCAATAAATATCAGCCATTTTGACATATTTGTAAACAAAAGTTAATTCTTGGTTTTAAAAATCTTCCAAAAATAAAATACTTTTCTGAAACTTATTTGAGGAATATTAACTGATTTAAAGTATAATTAATCTGAATTGAAATAAATATTTACTTTAAATTTAAAATAACAGAAAAATGGATTTTTAAAACAAATGGTAGTAGTGATTACACACTTATCACTATTGCTTGTCACTTGTAAATCACTTAACAAATGATAAAATATGTCAACACTTTTACTGTTGTTCTACAGAGACTTTTTCTGTTAAAACATAATGTAAGAAAATACTAGGTGAGTGCCCTTTTTTATATAATTTTTAAGTAATTTTGACAGCAGGCATAAAAAAAATTGATTTTTAACTAAAATTTCGAATGTGCTAGAAGGGATTAAAAAATTTAATAAAATAATAAATACTTTGGTCTTTCCTCTTAATAATATAAACATTTTGACAATAAAATTTTGTTTTTAAGTTTGGGGCCTTTTTTCATGTTATACTGTTTTTTTTTTGTTTTTTTTTTCAGAGCAAGTGGAGGTAACTAGTTAAGAAGCTAATGTGTAGTGAATCACCTTTTACTCTTGCCATTTGAATAGATAAGGTGTTCTAATAAAGTGGAAGCGGGAGGGGTCTCAATTTTCAAAATTTTTATAAGTGTACCTCCTCCTCATTTATTTGAGAGGCAAGAGTAATTCTCTTTATTTTGTACTCTTGCCACTCAAGTAAGTGGAGGGGAGTTATGCTTTTTAAAATTTTTAAAAATAAAACTTCCATTTGGCAATTTGTTTGAAAGGCAGGAGTATATACATTCACCATATAATCCTATTTCAATGTGAGAGAAAAAGTATCTAACCCTAATGGTGTTGGAAAGTAGAATAAATCATTTTTAACTTTTTTAATAATTTGTAACAGTTTACCACCTTCTTTATTTATTTTTTGTCTACTTATTGTGCAAACAAGTGATTGCTGAAGTCCATAAAACTTAAGAAGCCACTTATTGTGATCACTTTTGATGACAATAACCAATTAATAACATTAATTAAAGTATACAAAAGTTGATATACTGTACATTCATTCTTCTAAGTTAATGTTCCCAAACACCTTATAAAAAAAAAAAAAATTGACTTAAAATTGCAAATTCATTTGAAAAATGTTTAGACAAACTGATACCATTATCTCAATAAATAGCCTTGTTTGTCTGCGTACATGTATACATTTTATATGTATATATATATATATATATATATATATATATATATATATATACACACACATACAAAAACATTTAAGTCATAATCCTTTACTCAAAAGAATCTTTAATAAGAACATTAAGGTTAGTTACAGCTGTACTAGAAACCTTGAACAACATGTAGCCGAACATAATAGTCTAACTCTAGACAAACACTTAAGCAGCACTAATAGCATTGGTAACACTGATGATCAAATATGTAATTGCCATAAAGGAGCCATCTATAAGGCTAGCATTAAACATAATGATGAAACCAAATTTTATTTTGGGTCTACAGCAAATAATTGGAAAAAGCATATTTATCATCATAAAATGACCCTTAGCAACAAGAAATATGCAAATGCCACAGCACTTTCAAAGTTTTACTGGGATATCAAAACAGACGACGACACATTGTTAGTAAATTGGGAGTTTGTTGTTAAAATAAAGCCATTTTCTGGACATGGTGAACGTTGAAACCTGTGTTTGCTGGAAAAAGATTCATCTTCAAAAATATTAATAACTTAAATCTGCTTAATAGGCCTAATGATCTTATGCTTAGCTGTAATTATAGAAGGTTTCTCTTAAAATATTGTAATCTTGGATAAATATATCATTTTTTCCCCATTTATAGCTTATATCGATTATCTCCCTTCAACCATTCCAACATATCATATATTAGTGTCTTTATTTAAAATGGCTCCCTTATTTTTAATTAACTGCCTACACCATTTTTTCTGTATTTGGACCCCAGTATTGTTTTCGTACTACTTTAAATTTGAGCTGTGAATCTGTGTTCCTCCCATAAGTCCTGGTATACTTTTTTTTTTAAATTATAAGTTATACCTTGTGCCTAAAGAGTTGGGTAACCAACAAGACTTAAGTCACACCAGAAACAGGTATGTGTATATTTATAAATATATATTTCTTAGCTCTATCTAGCCATATCAAACACGTAATATTTACACCTTAAGGTAAATATTTATTTGCTTACCTGTGTATGCACATTAGTGCACATATACAGTTTATTTTCCATTTTTAATCATCTTAAAAAAATTTTTTTTCTGTATCCCTTTTGGTATAAATTTATATAAAAAATAAGTTTCTCTTTCTTGCAGCTGATGGTATTGCACTTGGTGCAGCAATTACAATGTCAGAGGATAGAGTCACAATGATTGTGTTTCTGGCAATCATGTTACATAAAGTAAGTAGCAAAAATATCATAAATATACAGGGCAACAATGATGTCAATTTATTCATGTCATATTCTTAAATGTAAGGAAAAAAGAAAAGAATCCTTTATTCCCACCAATTTCATAAAAACAAAGAAACAAATTAAGTATCCCTAGAGAAATAAATATATGCATGTGTTGTTTGCCATTATTCTCTTTCTTAAACAATTTTTTTTTCTTTCCTTAATAGAATATTGGGTTTCTTTTCAGGCACCTGCTGCTTTTGGGCTTGTATCATTTTTAATGCATGATGGTTTGGAGAGATCACGGATCAAACGTCACTTGTTTGCATTCTCTGTGTCAGCTCCATTGTTAGCCATTATAACCTTTTTTGGCTTGAGTCAGGTAAAAAAAAAAAAAAAAAAAAAATCAGTTTTTATTCTTCAATTTCATACTTATCAATCATGTTTTGTTAATTTCAAGACTTTCATAATTTTTTAGTCTTTTTCTAGATTTTTGCTTGTCTATAAATTGAGTAGTCTCACTTTTGTAAAAATAGTAATTGCTTGGTGTTGGTCTCTCTTACAAGCAAATAAAAAAAAAAAAGTCACTTGTAGAATGATCTACTTGCTTTCATTTCTGTTAGGAATGAAGGGAAGGAAAAAAAAACCCTAAGTATCTGAATTTAAAATACTTTGTTTTTAGAAAAGTTCATATTTTAATTGCAATTATAAAACTTTCAATTGTTTTTTTTATTTTTTCCTTTTTTCTTCCTCCACTAAATTTCCATTTTGTTTTTTCTTTTCAGCAAAGTAAAGAAACTCTATCAGATTTGCATGCAACTGGTTTTGCTCTTTTGTTCAGCGCTGGGACATTCCTATATGTAGCCACAATCCATGTTTTACCAGAAGTGGCCAACTCCTCTTCCTCCTCTTCACATGATGGAGTCAGTATCATGAGAGAACAGAAAGGATTTAATAAAAAAGAACTGATAACTTTTGTTATAGGATCAGCCATTCCTGTCTTTTTGGCTGTGGGTCATAAGCATTGACATAATAAACAAAAAAAAAGTTATAAAAAGAATTTTTTTAAAGTTAAATGTAAAAAAAATGAAAGTACCTCGAATTTTTTAAATTGTTTGTTTTTCTTTTCTTGTGTCTGATTTATTTTAAAAAATTTTATTGAAAGTCCAAACACATTCAGTTCTTTGGCACTGTCATTTTAGAATCATTTATTTTGAATATAAAGTAAACAGAAGTTATTTCTTACAACTTGCCACGCTGCATAACTATTTTAAAATAATTGTTACTATACCAAATTTATTTTTGATAAATTCATCATTAAAAGAATATATTAAATCAAATTTGAGTGATTATTGGAAACACTGAACTTATGAGGTCATTTATTTTGGAACTACATACAATTTTTTTATAATTTTGTTGTTCAAATTAATTTTGGAGAATTTGTTAATGGGATGAGGTAGAAGAGCTTATTTCACCTTTGTATAAATAATTCTTTAGGGTCTATAAAGAAAAAAGCAATTGCTGTTTTGTTTTCTGAAAGTTTTTTTTGTAAGATTGGGTAAAGTAAGGGGTCAACTAAAGCATTTTGGTTACATTTTTAATTGCCTTTTGAGAATATGACTTTAAGAAAATCATTCAAATAAAGTTTCTGAAAACCTATAAAATACTCATTTACTAATTTAAATTTCATTATTCTTAGATCATGCACCTTATTAAAGATTTAACTTTGAAATCTCTTCAAGAAAGGAATTCCTTAAAATTAAGCAAACAATTCATGGGAAAGGTCTTTTTTGTAAGGGTAACTGTCTTGTGTACCCGGTTTAAGAACACTGGCAGTTGCAATGTCATTGGAGCGCCGAATTATTTCCTGAACAGGTAGGTCTGGTCTGGTTGCCAGATAAAAAGCCAGACTCCCAACAAAGGCATCACCAGCACCCTGGAAAATTTAACAAAATTGTTTATATTTCAAAATTTGTCAACAGAAGTATTTAAATTTAAAAAAAAATTTCACGATAACTTACAAGATTTAAAGTCTTTGTATAAGACTCACTAAATAAACATGAATCAATTTCAAGTAGAAATGAATAAAAATTTCAGATTTTGATGGAAGCAGCAGTCTGCTCAATTTTTGTAATTACACAATTATGAAGTTTATTAAAATAACCAACTTGCACACTGAAATTAAAATTTCATTAAGCATTATCAAAGAAAGAAAACCCACTGCAATGTACTCTATAAATTATTGACTTGATGTAAAAAGTGAGCACCAGTATAAAAAAAAACTAAAGAGAATGCAAGGGGGATAAATGGATTTTTTTTTTTATCTTCATCTTTGTTTCTATTAAGGGAGGGGGCATTAATTCAATTGGAGTTTCCAAAACATTTTATTGCAGTGATGCTACACAAAATTTTAGTGATTTTTTTTAATTTACTTTTATTAAATAAATTTTAATTTAGTCAAATCTTTATTTCTTATGTTGATTGAAGAAAATGAAAATCAGAACTTTCTGTAAAAGTCGTGTGAAACAGCACATCTGTATATCCAAAACAGCAACACCAAAAATGATGAAACTAAGATGCGAACAAACTGCAACATGTTAAGCATTTATAAATTTTAAAAAAAAAAATATATATATATATTCACAACTGTTTTCCTATGCCAGACTCATAATGATGCTTTATATTTTCAAAAATCTTTATAAATCACTAAATTGGTAAAATCACTGATTTTTTTTTTTTTTTAAACCATGGAAAGTCATTAATACATACTGTGCTGTCAACTGCTTTCACCTCTTGTGCAGGAATATGAATGGGATTTATACCAGCTTCAGTCACAAACACTGACCCCATTTTTCCAAGAGTAAGAATTACATTAGAACAGCCACGGTGGATGAATTCTTTTGCAGACTTGTTGGCATCCTCAATAGAATTAACTGGATTTCCCCACAAAGACGCCGCCTAGTGTTGAAGAAAAAAATTGTCCATAACATATAAGTAAATATTTATGTTCTTGTAAAATTATATAAAAGTCTGTTGGACAAATTTGATTGCATGGAGGGGGGAAAAAAATACCTCCAATTCATTTACACAAAAGTAATCCACCAATTTGTATATTTCATCAGGTAAAGCCTTTGGAACAGGTGCCACATTGAGAATAGTTTTCACTGTGGATAAAAAGAATACATTAGAAAATAACAACCAGTAAAACTAAATTACACAGGGAAAAAAAATATGCTATATTGTAAAAAGGTTAAAGCTTCAAATAAAAAAAAAAAATGTTCAACTTAAGTTTTGGCTTAATGAATAGCCAAGATTAAGTTTAAAAAAAAAAAAAAAATTCAAATATAATTAATTTTTTTTTTTTTTAAATAAATCTTATTTTGGCCTCATAATTTTTCTAATAAAAATATAGGATTAAATAATAAATAAAAAAATCAATATATCAAATCTTTTATAGGTAGATACCTCCAAAAATTTACTAAAAAGAGGATACGTGGGGGGGATGTTTTTATCCTCTTTTGAACCTTAGAAATTTTCGTTAAGTCATTTTTCTGGCATCAATGTTGGATCATAAATTTGTACAGAAAATTTGAGGGTCTTTTTGTGGCAAACAATCATTTGGAAATTCTTGCAAAAATCAGACTTCAGGTTTTAATTAAACTTTCAGAACTTTTTTTTTATCACTTAATGTTTATTTAAATTAATTATAAGGACAAGTCCTTGAAGAATTTAAATCAAATTTTTTTTTCATCAAACAGGACCACAGTAATAAAAAATACAATAAAAGTAAGATATTATTTAATTTATAAAAGCTTTTAATTACGAATAAAATATGGACAATATTATCTAATTTTTTGTTTATGAATAATGAATTTTTACAAGAACTGCTTTCATTTTTTAAAGACTTAGAATAATTTATAAACTTAAAATTCTGTATTTGTAATCGTCAGGTGATATATTAAGACTACATTTACTAATCATAAATGGAAAGGGCCATTACAATCCAATGACCCCCACCTCCGAAATTTAAAAAAAATAATTTTATGTGCATAAACATGTTGATTCTTTTTAAATACAGATGTCCAAAAGCAACATTTTCAAAAAATAAGAGATGTAACTATAGTAAAGTCAAAATTTATTGGTAATTTTCTATTTCCTCAAGAAGCATCTTTGTAAGTAAGCAGAAGTACCTAAACTTCTAAAAAATATGAGAATGCTTAAAATATTTTACATTTTTAAGATTACTGGATAGTTAAGAAAAATTATATGAAAATGGCATTTACATTGTATTCATCATGTAAATTTATAACAATTATCTCCACCTTACTTAAATTTCCCAAACATCAGGCTGTTGATAGAGGTATGAACACCTCATAAAAATACCTTTGTGTTAAAAAAAATATTTTAAAATGTATTTTGTGTATTGGAAGATTAAATTTAATTTATTAATTTGGAATTAAATAAAAGCTTCAAGAAAATTTTTTCATTTTTTAAAATGCATTTTAAACCTTAGATCAGTGACTTCTAAGTAGGTACCTCCAAAAATAAGTGATACCTTTGTTTCATAAACTTTATCATTTACTTCGTGTTTAATCTCAAAAATATTTTCCGCATACTCCAATTATTCAGTTTCATACAAGGTTTTTGAGCCAGAGTAGACCATAAAAGAATTAGAGGGAGAATTGCTTATGATCATTGAAAATTTTAACTCAATGAATTACAGCAAAGTTTCTATAATAAATTGATCATGAACTAAGTGGTGCAAAGAGCATTATGAATTCAGTAATAAAAATGTTAAATATACATAGAAAGAATAGCTTTTTGTTGATCATTTGGTATTTACCTCCATGTTTTTTTGCTATTTTCAGAGCTGCCAGAGCAGTTGTAGGTAAGATCTCCATTTGCGTGACCAAAACTTTGGCTGATTTTATTACTACTTCAGCAGCTTTAAGATCATTTTCATTAAGCTTCAAGTTGGCAGCAGATACAATAACAATACAATTTTGCCCTGAAAAATAAAAATATATTTGAATATTGCATTGAAAGTGATTTTTTTTTTTTTTATGTAACCCTTTCACCTCCACTAATGAATTTGGTCTTCCACGTCAGCAACAGCAATTGTGATATTTCACTTAGCCAGAATCTTAGTCACTTGTTACTCAGATTACAAGTAAGAAGTGCTGATCTTGGTGATTTCAAATGGAGATTGAAATGAAACCATCTGACACTTCTGATTTATCAAACAATGAAGTCTTTAAATTTCCAGTTGAAACATCTAGTGAGATTAAGTTCAAGTAAGGATATTACTATATTTAACAAATGTATTTCTATCAACCTGAGGAAATTGATGTGTAAGGGATTGTCTCAGTCTTACATTTCTTAAATGTTGACTAAGCAAGTATTGTGTATGTTCATTCAGGAATTGATTGCATGACTGTAGGCAGTAATTACAATACAGTGATCTGCTTCTGGTGCTCAAACCAAATACCTTCCAACTTCAGCTTATATTGAATCACCTGGAAATCAACAAGAATGAATATGCACTGCATTAACAGAAGACAATAAGTAACATGCATCTGTGTTTGGGGGCTTCCTTAGTTTACTACATGTTCGTTTGGCTGATGTCACTTATTCAAGAAGCAAATTTCTGTTTGAAAACTGGGGATGTATTTTTCTTGAAAAATTTGTTCAAGATAAGGGCATTCAATAACAGGTTTTTAACTATTTTTCTGTTTACTGCATCAGTTATCTTTCTTGAACTGGAGATGTTGAAGTGTCTTTGTTATGACAATGCTTCCTATCTGGAACAGTGTGCCTAAGATTTGAAAAAGAGTACACAAAGTCTCATACAAAACCTAATATGGATATAAGAAAATATATGACACATTTGGTGGCAGAGGACATATTCAGCAAAAAATTTGAAAATTACTTTTTTCACTGCAAATTATTTGTTATATCCAAATATTTTACAAAAAATCAGAACCATTACACAATATTTCAAGTTTAACAGTTTTATAGTTCGTAACCATGCAATGAATGAGAGGAGATAACAAACTGCAGATTTGTCTGCAGAATATCATTACATTGTTACATAATTATAAGTGAAATCATTAAGGTTTTTGTTCAAAGCATTTTATTTTGGGTCTTATATTATAGTCTTATATTTATTTAAAATATTCCTTTTTTTCAAGCTTTATTTTTGAAATGGAATAAGATCATTCTAAATTTCAGAATTTCACTATTGCCCATCAAGATGACTGGAAGAAAATGATTTAAAAACAACAATGGAAAAAAGGTAAAGCATAAATGAAATAGCTTCAGTTTGTTCAACTTAGGAAACTTAGATTGTTTGTTAGGTAGTTTAGAATACTTTGGCTGCAATGCTAATATACCATCAAAATTTATAATTTTTTATTTATTTGTTATGTAACTAAATACATGTGTTAACAATATTTTCCTAAAAATTGATATTTCTTATTATAAATTCTTAATAAATATTATTATTATTATTATTATTATTACTTTACTTAGGTGAAAGGTAGTCATACATTTACAATTCCTTATGGCTCCAACCATGGAAAAAAATGTTGCCAATGCTACCTAAAACCCTTAAGCGTATATTGCCACAAAATTATCATTCATTTTTTTTTGCATTGATCACTGGGCTTATTTCATAATCTACTGTTCAAGCAAACAATTATCAAACCAAGCTAAAGTTTTATATTTAAGAGCCAAAATATGAATTTTTTTTATATCTTAACAAGTGGATGAAATAAAATAGTTGAATTCCTGTCAAAATAAATGATTATAAAGAAACAAACTGTGCACTGCCACTAGTTTAAGTTGGACTTAAGTCAAGCACTCTTGTGATCAAACTAGTCATTATTATTAAAACAATACGGAAACACTATAGTAGATCCTAAGCTTAGGCCATTTTAACAGAGCCATAGAATGAAGCACCGAATGAACAAAAAAAAAAAAAAAAAAACAACTAACACTAGCTTATATGGCTTAAACTCCTTTATCACAAGCACCACACAAAAGAGTAAGTGCTTGAGAAATTTAAATTTGAATTATTATGTGAGCAAAAAGTTAATTATTTTTGTCATTATATAGCATACATTAGGATTGTTTACTTTTAATTTCAAAGTTTGCTTTTCATGAGACATCTGTCAAACATTTTAAAATATTTTGTCAAAATTGGTATAGTTTTATATATATATTGATGATATATAGAAGATAATAGGCCACATTTTCTGCTTAAGTATTTTTATTTTAAGTAAAGTAAAAATGAAAGAAAAAAAAAAAAAAAAAGACTTGTGCAGTTTATGGTGATGTCAAAGTAGTTTATGAAATTTCCTGTTGGGGATTTCTCACTGAACAGTGCTTTATGGTTTTGTAAATGAACCAAAATTAATAGTAGTCACATAAAGACTTGTGAATAATCAATAATATATAACTAAAGAAATTTTCCCTAGAAGTTTTCATTTGCAGATTGACATTCAAATGGATGTGTTGGAGAACTGCAGGCTCAAGTTCAAAATTCCTGGACTGAATTGTTGAACTATCAGTCACCATTCGTAGACATTTCTGTTATTTTTGCAACATGTTATTAATAAGGCTGACACTAAGTCACAAAGCAGCCATGTCTGGGTAGATGAGAGCACTGCAGAATTAGGAAGGTTAAACTGTAACTGCTGACAAATAAACTTTGTTAGATTTTGGTTCTGAAAGTAAATTCTCTAGCCAGATTTTGGTACTGAAAGTAACTTCTTTATTTTTCATAAAACTCACTCTCTTCACTTCTGAGGGTATTTCAATCAGTTTTGCCTAAAACTTCCACAGATCAAAATATTAAATACAATGTGGGTGAGGAAAATGGATTGCCAGAGTGAGATGCCGAGGTAGCAGACCCAGGAGTCCATAAAATCAATGAACTGTAAGAAGCAAATAAATTAAGGGAAAAGATCAGCAGTATTTTTTCTTAAATACTAGCTTTTCAACCCAATTAATAATACTATTATAGTAATGGTTGACAAGAATTTATCTAGTAGAATAAATATAATATTGTTGCTACAAAATATGTCACTGATCAAGATTGTGAAATGTAGTGACGAATTATAGGTTAGATGTGGTCTTCTACAATGCTCTCAAGTTCTTGTAGTTTAGCACTTAAAACAGCTAGCAATTTCCCAAGTTTTCATGACAAAAAAGGGATATATTTTACCAAGAGCTTATCCTTTATTTCCAATCCTGTATTGTTGAACAGATTAACAGCACAAATTGTAAAAAAAACAAATTAAAAATTAAGATGAAATAAATACTAATTGAAATCAATAATATTGGTTGAGGAAAATGATGTATGGAAGTTATTAAAAGATTTTAAACTTAATATTAAGTCTATTATCCACAGTTGAAACTTTACAATCTTTTTTCATATTCTTTATTTATGGATGCTTAAAATTGTGAATGATTTGTTATTAGTGTATTTTGGAAATTTAACATTCAGAGAAATACCAGAAAAAGTTGATTCTTAGTAATTAAAAAGAAAAGAAAAAAGAAAGGAATCCTGCTACTACTGACATGTTTTGATGCAATTATGGTTTGTCAACTGAATAGCTTCCTTTCCACAAACCTTTTGATAAAAGAAATATAAGTTATGTAAACCTGGTATATAGATAGCTATAAAAAATTTTCACATTCTATGCTTTAGACACATCAGAATAAAAAGAAGACCAATTGAACTGATATTTTAACTATTAAATAATTCTTCTAAATAAATTACACAATTCAAAAAAATATTAATAAAAATGCTTAAAAGTGGCAACAAATTAAATAAATATGTTTTATAATAAGTATATAAAAAAAATATTAAAAAAAAATAAAAGAAAGTAACAATTTTATCTTATATTACCAACACAGTAGGGGGCTGGTGGCGAGGAACACACATACACACACAACTGAAGAAAAATTTTCAAACAAAAGTTAGTGTGTAAACATTTTAATTTTAGGCTATTTACAATTTTACAGAAGTATAGAGCATTCATATTGAACTTAATTTTTTCATTTAATTCTTTTAATAGGCAACAATATCAGAAAATTAAATATATCGAAGACATGTAAGACATCCTATATTAAATCAAATCACAATAACTGATGTTCAACAAAAAGACAATAAAAATGACCAGATAATTTTAAAGAGGAATATTTGAGACATTTAAATTTGTTGTTTTGACATTATGTATAAGTGACAAAATATACCACCATTTTAATTTGCTTCTTCACCACTTTCATCAGTTTTTTTTTTCATTGATCTCTTCTCAACCTGTCCAGCTCTTTTATATCTCATCACCAAATCTTTTGTTGCTGGCCCTTATCATTTGTTGAGCATAATATCATTAAAAACCAGTGGTTGCTACTAGCTCTGGGTTCCAATGTATGTGATACATAATAGAGATGGAATACAAGGGGGGTTTGAAGTTTGTAGATTCTTTACTTATTGTTCTAACCCATTAAAAAGGTATTGCATGCCAGTTTCTTTCATTGTTATGCTGTAGGTTTTGGTTCATGTTGAATTGATTATTTGCTTACGAGAGTTAAAAAAATAAATTGGCATTTCCTTACAAGTTTTCTCATTCAAGTCTAAACAATTTTTTTTTACTGACAGGACATAACAAATTAGTTTCTATAACAAACTTCAATATGATTTACAACAGCAGAGCATACTGCAGATCCTTTTTATAAAGTCTAGTGACTTTAAATGAGCATTGATTTTATTCTCATAGAAGTTCAATTTACACCAAAATTTGAAAGTTTATTTAGAGAGGTTTTCAAACAATTGATTTTTCTTTGTGTGAGGGTCCTACAATGTTTTAATGGATCTGTTCTACACCTTCGTTAGGTGAACTACTCAGATGAATTTCACTTTTCTTTTTTTCGCCAGTGAAAAATGTTTTTTTTAACATTCTCAATTCCTTTTTTGTTAAAGAATTCTATCTCATATTTCTCTTAAGAATCAAAAATCACACAAAGCATTGAAGTCCACATGAACACAATTTATGCATTCAATCAACAAGTTCATGTATACAGATTACTTTTAATTTTCTGACTCCCTATTGATAACTCTTCTCAAAATGATACACTATGTTTGAAGTATTAAACATACTTGACAAAATGTAAGTAAATAAACCTGCAGACACATTCTTGTGATTAAATTGCAGGAACTAGTAAATGATGTACACTGCTAGATCTATCTGGATTATACTGATAAACACTTAATTAATTTCATGTTCAAATCTCTATCTCACTGTGCCAATCCTTTTATTTCTCAAACTTCAATTATTGCCCCTTTTTTCCTTCTTTATTGTGTGATATGAAATCACTTTTTATTGGATCTTAATTCAAATCAAAACTTTTACATAAAAAAAAAAAAAAAAAAGACAAAAAGAAGTTTATAGTTTTTATTTTTTTAATCTTGAAAGTAACACTGGTCAACTTACCTTTGTCATTGACAATAATATTTGCCACACCAGTTTGCTCCTTTTCAGTTTTATAAATATGATCTGAAATACAAATCAATTCACATTGAATATACTACAAATGATGATTTATTATTCACTAAGTCAGAATTTGAAATGTTTGCTTTAAAGTATTAATAACAGAGCATTATTTATATTTTCAGTTTATTTTTTTGAAAAAAAAAAAAAAAAATACAGGTAAATTTAAATAATGTGTTTGTTAACAAAACTTTGCTCCTTAAACCTAAAAAAAAAATTGATCAAATTTAAATTTTGTATTTCACACAATAAATATTTGGTTTTGTCACATTTATTTTTGGTGATTATCATAAATTGTTTTTAAGGAATTCTCATCAATGTATTTGGAAATTTATAAGAATAAATGAAAAATGTGGCCAAACTACAAACATTTTTTTTTTTACTTGGAATAAATTTTAACAAATCAATAATGAGAAAGATTCCTGTCAATCAGGAAATTTGCAATGGAGAGCAAAATCATTTTAAATCGTTACTAATGGTATTAGTTTGACCTTCACTGGGTGCTTTATACCAGATGAAGCTAAGTACATTCCTGCCAGCTTATCAGAAAAGATTTTAAATATAAAAAGATGTCCTTGTATCCATTTCTGTCATTCATAATTGCAACAACAGACATTTCTGTCATCTGTAGTTAATGTGTTAAGAGATTTAAATGAATCATTCAGTTTGAATAGATAAAATCCTTACCTACGTTGACTGAATGTTTTTTAAAATGTTCCAAATGTTCAATGCCGTAACCATCATCACCAACCTGCAAAATGTAAAAATGTAGAAGTAACAAAGTTTCCCCCTCCCCACTCAGAAATAAATTATATACAAGGCTTTTGCAGTTCTTTTAGAAAATATTTCATTTGTACTTAGTATACAAATTGATAAAAATACAAAACGAATGTGACAAGAAGGCATTTTCTCACTGGATTTACTTAACTTGTACAGTTAAATATTTCCAAGATAATTAGAGAACGTATCAGGATTTATTATCTGGAGATGACACTATGTAAAAGACAGATTCAAATGGAAAGCTGAACAAACTATTAAACAAAGTCAATGAAAACAAGAAGAAAATACTGACCATTATTTGTAAGAGACAATCTGACATGTAAGTTGTGCATTAGTGATGACAAAATTTAACAATGTCTACCCTCATCCATATCAGTAAAAGCTATGCATAAAAACTATGAAGAAACTGTTGATAGTTGAGACAGATTAAATCTTTGGGACATGCAAGGAAAGAAAGCTTACAGAATCTAATACTCATAGGACACATTGAAGAAAAGTGAATCAGGGAAAAACAGTGAGTTCCTATCTGACAAGTTTGAGCAAATGGAGGAATAAATATCTCAAAAAAAAAAAAAAAAAAAAAAAAAAAAAATATTGCTGAGAATGTCAAGAATCATGATCACCCAAATTCTGAAGAGAAATAGCACAGAGAGAGAGAGATTAGTAAAACAGCAGATTCAGATTTGATTTCAAATATTTCTCACTTTAAAAACAAAAATAAATAAAACACTACCTTTCAGATAAATACAAAAAAAAACAGACATAAATGACGGAGACTGTTGAGTTAGTGGCCATGGTCAAATGCAAAAAGAAATAACAGAACTGTCCAACAAATATAATTGACAAACATTGAAATAAAAAGAAAAAAAGGGGGCAAAAAATGAAATAATATCAAGCAAGTAAATAATATATGCAAAAGCAAATTCACAGGTAAAAGGCAAAATGTTTACAAATTGGCATCTACACACAAAAGCAAGGTCAGACAAGTGAACACAGTGATCTATCTTTGAGATAATGCAGATGTGAACTGAATATTTATTTTGTATACAATACAAAATTGTGGCACAAGGCCAAAAGGGGAAGTGAAGAAAAGCCTGGTCTTCATTAACTATCCTAGTCAATCAACATCAAAACCCATTCATCCATTACAATTTACCCATTCTCCGCAAGAACTCATCCATCACCTCTCAATCCTACAAGTATCACAATACGGCATTTTCACAGGGGACCTACAAAACACCCCATGACATAAAAATTTGTAAATGTTCAAAAGTCTCTATATATTTTTTTTTCAAACTTTTTCTTGTTTATTTTAAAAAAATATATAAAAATTTCATGAAACATGAAATGAAGAGAAGGGGATAAACCCAAAAACAAAACTAAAAATATAACAAAATATTTAAACTAAAACAAAACATATGTTAGTAGTAAGTGTCCACCCCTCAAAATAATAAGAGTGGTTGCTGTATTCTGCCATTTAACAGAATCAAGAAGCACACTCACTAATGGAGTGGGAAGGAAAAAATAAATGATAGAGTGGAAAAATCAAAGGCTGACTCAGCTGAGATAAAAATGGAACAAAAACAAACTGGGGAGGTTTGGAATCTTGACACGGATCATAACAAAAGAGAATGCTAGGAACAGGCTAGGAACAACACTTACTCATTACCTTGGAAAACAAATAGTGTCTAACTTAATCAGGTGCAGGTACACAGGAAATCACCAATTGTGACTACAGGGACTTAAAAGAAAATCAAGGCTAGCCCATTCACACGAACCAGGCTCATCACAGACACCCACCTTTCACTAAAATCTGTTGATATCAAACACTTTCTATGAATTTTGATCTTCATCCTAAGCTGATGCCCAAAGAATCCAACCAGATTCTGATAAGAAGAGTGTTCATATCGCAAGATTCCCTCCATCCGCGGTGTCCATACCACCATTCTAGCTAACAATGTGAGAAAAACCATCCGTTTTACCCCAGAAAATGAGTATGGCACATTATCACACACATGTGAGGTCAATGAGCCAATCAGAAGTGATACAAGCCGTGAACTTATTGACATTGTCCTCAGGTGCGCCCTTTTTTTGGGACTATGATAGAAGTCGGGCAAAGCTGTTTCTTCTAAACCAAGGTCATACAAATTGCAGCCAGACAAATCTGCCCAGCCCCCTCTGAAGGCTATGTCATTGAGAGATAGCATGTTCTGAATCAATTACCAGGTGACAACTCAGGTTTGCTGAAATAATCCACTGCTGGTACCCAAGACCAAAGAGAGTGCAACGCTGATGCCAACAAGCCGAGCCGGCTATATAGAGGGTCCATTGCAACCCCTCCACTAGTTCATGATACAATAGCCTATAAGGCCGTGAAAGGTCACTGGACTGACGAATGGCCTGCAAGGCTGCCCAACACTCTTGCAGGAATCTAGATTGATTCCAAGGCTTACGATGTGAGCTCAGCCACTGAAACAGTGGGAGTGATGGTAAGGCTGGGGAAGGCATCCCTAACACTTCCCTCCAAAATCAAGTCCTCAGTCAATGCATGGCATAGGAAAGCCAACCTTGAACTGTGCCAATGGCACAAGTGCAGCATTCCCAGCCCCCATGAGATGGATGTTGGGAAACAGTCTCTCTGCAGACCAGATGCTTAAAACCAGCCAACAAGAGAGTGAACAACAAGTGATCAAGCGCCTTCTTTCAGTTCTTGCAGAGAGAAAGTACAGACAATTGATAAAGAATAAGAAAGATGTACATAACATACAGGTTTGCTCTACCCTTTATAGACAACTGCCATTGAGGCCAAATCTGGACCGGCACTGCGACCTTTGATGTACCTTGGACCAATTTTTCTTTGGCTGGAGACTGGGCCTTAACTACCATCCAAGAATGTGAACAGGTACGTTTGTCCAATTAAAGGGCCTTGGAAGTGTGGCCTCCTCCCAAGCACCTAAACATAAGCTGGATAACCTGTTGTGGTTAATTTTGACCCTATTACCTTTTTGTACTGCTCAAGTGCCTTCTGTATCACCTCAATGTCACTACGCCATGACACGAAAATGGACAAGTCATCAGCATACACAGAAAACCTAGCTCGATCTCCTACTTTGACTGCTTTCTCTTTACCAGGTTGCTTTGAATTGTTCGTCCTTTCAGAGCACAAGTCTGCTCAGGTCCCAACAAGGTCCTTGACTGCTTTCCGTTTACCTGTACCATAGCACTGGGGGAGTGAAACAGGAGGCTGATCCACTTGCAGAAGTCAGGTTTGAATCTGGCAGCCTGCAGGACAGCAACAGGGCACTGATGGTCAACCCTATCGAGTGCCTTGGACTGATCCAAATTGACCAGTCCAGCTTCATTGTTGTCTTCTACACACTCCATGATCATGCGGATCAGGTTGCTTTGAATTGTTTGTCCTTTCACAGCACAAGTCTGCTCAGGTCCCAACAGGTTCATGAAAACTGACTGCAAAAGCTCCACCAGGATCTTGGCCAAAATCTTTAACTCTGTGTTTAGCAGAGTTATGGGCCTATAATCATCTAGATCCCACCCAACACCCTGGCCTTTTTTCAACAGCATGATCACATCCCAGGAGATCTGGTCAGGGATGGACCCCTGCTGGAACCAGTTGTTGACCACAACAGTCCTAATCGGAACAAAGATGTGCAACAGCATTAAGTACAATTTGTAGGGCAGACCATCAAGTCATGGAGATATGCCACTGCTGACCCTCTACAATGCCAAGTGAACTGTACCTTCTGTGATCTTCCCCTTGCAGCTAGCTGCTTCAGTCAGCTCAAGCTGGAGAAAGTCAGCCAAATAGCTGTGAAACTCCTTGCTCCAGGCTCCTTGGTAAAATGGCTCTCAAAATGCCCCCAAAACTCCTTCCTTATGTCCTTGGTCAACCCCAGAACACAACCCTCACGAATATATATTGATTGGAACTTTGACAGATCTCTTCCTTGCACAATTCTGTGCCTATATTTACAGCTTCATTAGACATCTTGTTTAACATATCTAATTACCTGACCCTTGTTACACTTGCTAGCCTCACACTCCAGAGGCTGCCTATCTAAAGCTATTTCTAGGGAATCCTCCCAAGTCTCCACCTGGGACAGACTATCCTCTAGAGTTTTCACCTTTTTAGCCTTATCTAGAGTGAGTTGTTGGCTATATTTGGTGGTGAATGACCTAATCATATCTTTAAGCCTCTCCCATCACCTATTCCCAATAACTGCCCCTACTTCCTACTACCCTATTTCCTGCTGCGCTAATCTAGTTAGCTGTTGCTGGAAGTCCCGCCTGTCCAGTAAAGACAGATTGAACTTCCAGTGTTCAGCTGTTCTAAGCCTAATACCTAACACCAGCTGGGCACAGACAAGTCTATGGTCTGAATAGTCTAAAGGGTGGAAGTGAGACAATCTAGCAAGTCTAGATTGACACTTCTGATTAACATTCTGTCCAGGTAGCTGGCTACCCAGAGAGACAGCTACTTAAGAGCCCATGTCCACATCTCCTGCCCCGGATGATCGACCCAGTATCTATTGATGAGCCCAAACTCACCAATCAGATCAGCCAGGCTATGATTGCCTGATGACCTCCCTGCCCTGTCTACCTTGGGATCCAGGATGGCATTCCAGTTTCCCATTAAGTCTAAGTGCAACAAATACACCAGGAACGACCCAAACTAACAGAAAAAGGCAACACACTGTCTGATCGATGGGTGCATAAACCACAACAACCCAAAATGAACTACTGTTTATGGCATTATTAGCCATGATAAGCCGGACACCTGAATCAATATGGATAAGGTCCACCCTCACTTCCAGGGAACATTTTACTAACAAGGAAATTCCTCTAGCCAGCTGGTCCACATATGCTGAATAGACAACAAAGTTACTAGACAGCACACAAGCATCAACATTGCAAACAAAGTGTTTCTCCTGGATCACAACCACATCTACACAA